CTGGTGTGGGTTGGGGCGGGCACGCGGCCGGGACGCCTTTTTCCTCATTTTCTTTCCTGGCCCGATGCGCAGGCGCACTTCTCCCGCATTGGCCTCGTGGGCTGTTGGAGGTGGGGGGGCCACTGCGTGAGCGGGAACGGGTGGGCGGTGGCCTTGTCCGCGCCGGAGAGGAATTATGTCCGGTCACTATTTAGTTTTTATAGCTCCGTGGTTTGTCTTGAAGCGGAAGTCCATTTGAGGACAATTCCCCCAGAACAGATTATGTCCCCTATTTTGTGGGCGCTGAAAACCGGAAGAAAGGCCTTGTAAAAGGTCTTTTTCGCCGTTCGGGAGTTGAGCCAAGTTTTGGAGCCATCACGAGTTTGCTAATAATTTCCAGGGATTAACGATGCGCAGAGGGGTTGATGAACCAAAATGTTCGCTGCAGTTGGGCATTTTGGAAAGGATTCAGCCTCTTTAGTCGCCTCTGAATAGACCACCAGTTGTTCTGGCTTAGAGCCCATTCCCTCCTCCCTCCAAGTTCATGAAGTCCTCTCCCAGTCAGCCATTTGCAGGTTTTCTCAGGACTCAGCTGCCATCTGTACTATGATTTATTAGCATTTTAATCTGTGCCAGACCTTGTTCCACCCATTTTAAAGGTATCTCAATTGAATTTTCAACACTTCTTTATGAGATAGGGGATGCTTTCACTATTTTTGACTTGCATAGATGAGGTAAATTCATATAACCAGTGAGGGAAGGGACTGGGTTTAGAATTTAGGACTGGAAATCCAAACCGCTGAACCTGGTAACCATCAGGCATGTGTGTGCCTCCTGTTTGGTTCATTCCTGCAATAGAATCCAGTTCTGCCTGGTTCTTAAAAGCTTCTGTCTGTGGAAATTTCTCTTCTTTCTCAAAGACATTACTCTTTTCCTATAGTCTGGTGTAGGTCGTGTTTCCCAACGCAGATTTTGGTTGGAAAGTGATTAAAGCTAAATGTAGTCAAGGCTGGCCTGGCTGCCACAGCTTCTGAGGCACATGCTCTTTTATCCTGACTAGACCTGGGGGTCAAGGTGGGAACAGTGATGCTTGGCTGGACGACGGTTGCAGCTTACTCTAGTGGGGACAAGGCAAAGAAGTTGGGCAGATGCAGAGATTGCCTGATCAGACTGCAGCAGAGAATTGTGTGAGCCTTTCCTGCCGGTGGTGTCCACTTTCAAGCTACTCCTTTCCCCCATTTTTTTTTGACCACTGGGAAGAGACAAGTTCTGGAAGGAATGTAAGATAAGCGATCTGCCTGGTCCTTCATTGTGCTTTCCTCAGAAGCTACAGCAAGAGGCTTTAGATAAGCAGCCATGCACTGAGGGCCTTTGCTCTGCTGACCCAGAATCCTTTCGGGGTGATGGTTTAAATTGCTGTCCCTTGTTGTCTGACCTGTGTGTTTTTCCTGGGTGACACTCCGCTGTCTTATTTGACTGAATCCTCAACAATGCAGAAGCTGGTGAGCCACTATCTTGTACGGCAGGAAATAAAGTCTTGCTTTTGCTTCTTTTCTCAGGAGAACTACGATGACCCACACAAAACCCCTGCCTCCCCAGTTGTCCACATCAGGGGCCTGATTGACGGTGTGGTGGAAGCTGACCTTGTGGAGGCCTTGCAGGAGTTTGGACCCATCAGGTACTCCACTCAGAGGCCAGGATTGAGTGTACAGAGAAGTCAACTTTTTGGTGTCCTATGTATCACTGATTCCTGGTTGGAAGTGACTTGGCCAGTTTGGTCCAGGGTCCCTTGGCTGGGTCCTGGGGATCCTCTGCTCTTGAGGTTGGCCCTTGTGCTTTGGGTCAGGTTATGGCAAGTTCCGTGCCCTTTTTCTTTCTCTACTTTGTAGCTTCTAATTAGCATTTTCTTATTCAGCAAGTATTTATTATTGAGTATGTGGTACATGCTCAGTAAATGTGGGAATAGAGCATTGAGCAAAACTGTCCTGGACTCCTCTTAGATAGTTGCCCACACAGTGATCAGCACTATGATGGGGGAAGCTCAGGAGTCTTTGGGAGATATTTGACTGAGTCACGTGAGGAGGGGTCAGGAAGGAAAGCTTCCCAGAGGAGGTAATGCCAAAGCTACACCTCTTGTGTGTGTTCTGCCACTTAGGGATAAGAGGTGTTACAGTCAGGAAACCATGACAGGGTGCACAGGAGTTTGGAGGCCAGGGAGGAGACAGTTCACAGGAATTTGAACGTCATTCTCTTGTTCTTGTCTCATCCTGAGAATTTGAAATCTGTGTTTTCTCTTGTCAGCTATGTGGTGGTAATGCCTAAAAAAAGACAAGCGTTGGTGGAGTTTGAAGATGTGTTGGGGGCTTGCAACGCTGTGAACTATGCGGCCGACAACCAAATCTACATTGCTGGTCACCCAGCCTTTGTAAATTATTCCACCAGCCAGAAGATCTCCCGCCCAGGAGACTCTGATGATTCCCGAAGCGTCAACAGTGTGCTTCTCTTTACCATTCTGAACCCCATCTATTCCATTACCACGGTGCGTGCCAGTGGACATTCATTCCTTTATGCTCCTCTGTGAGATCTCCCTTCTTCCTTTTCTCTCTGTCCCCAAGCCAGACTGACCTGTCAGTGCCCCTTCATTTTTCTCATCTTTGCTTTTACAGGATGTTCTTTACACTATTTGTAACCCTTGTGGCCCTGTCCAGAGAATTGTCATTTTCCGGAAGAATGGAGTCCAAGCCATGGTGGAATATCCTTTGCTAGGGAATAGGTGTTTCTTGGGTTGAGGGCTTAGAGTTGGGCAGGGTGCCATCCTTTAACCAGTGTGTATCTACTGAATGCCTACCATGTGTCAGATGTTTTCATAAAGCCTACAGTCTGATGGGAGGGGCTGTCAATAAATAATCAAATGTATAAAAGTGCAGAATGTAAAGTGCTATGAGATACAAGGGGATGTGGAAAGTTCTCTGAGGAGGTGGTATTTTATTGTCATGGAGAAGTAGGAGCTGGTATTTAATTCAGGGTGGAAGTACCGGCTTTATCAAAGATCCTCAGGTGGGCCCTAGCCTGATGGCTCAGTGGGTTGGAGTGTTGTTGCTGGTTCGATTCCCAGTCAGGGCACCTGCCTAGGTTGTGAGTTCCATCCCCAGTGGGGGCACGAATGGAAAGCAGCTAAACGATGCTTCTCACATTGATGTTCCTCTGCCCTCTTACCCTCCAATCTCCCCCCCCCCCAAAAAAAAATTTTTAAAAAAACAACAACATTCAAGGGGGAGGAAGAAGGGGACCCTAATATAAGGTGACAGGAGAAGATTTGACTTTGAGTGGTGGGCCCATGAAACCCATACCTGAAATCTATGTGATCATGTTGACCATTGTCACCCTAATTAATTTTTTGAAAAATATATTTTAATTGGTTTTTTACAGAGAGAAAGGGAGAGGGATAGAGAGTTAGAAACATATAGATGAGAGAGAAATATCGATCAGCTGCCTCCTGCACACCTACTGGGGATTTGCCCACAACCAAGGTACATGCCCTTGACCGGAATCGAACCTGGGACCCTTCAGTCTGCAGGCCGACGCTCTCTCCACTGAGCCAAACTGGTTAGGGCCCCGATTAATTTAATAAATGTTAAAACACATCCTTCAGTGAGGATTAAAAAAAAAAAATCCTCAGCTGGTCGGAAGCTTAGTGTTGGAGAAAGCAAATGATCTGACAACTGAAGAGTAGCAGGCCTAGGGGAGGAGTTCTCTATGGGCATTAGAAGTTAGGGAATTTTCAGTAGTGGTGAAGCTTGGGTCAGGATGCAGTAGGAAGCCACGGATGGACTTTCAGAGCAGGAACATAATCTGGTTGGTATTTTTCAGAGGTTGTTCAGGTTTAGTCAAAGCACAAGGGAGAATTTGTGCTAAAGGAGAAGGTAGCTTGGCCTGGAGTGACAGGAGGTTGTTGCCACCTCTGGGCTGGTGGGGTGGGAGTGCAGATCGTGAAGAAACTCTCGCCAGTGACTGTTCACTCAGGGTAGCATGCCAGCCCATCTCCATTCAAGTGGCTGTGGCCGTGAACAGACCCTAGAACACCCATGCAATCTGGGTGCTACCTTGTCCTCCTCCATCTCTGGGACAGCTTGAAGCCCTCCAAAGAGCTGTGATGGGGCTTTCCTTAACTTAACTTACATTTGATTCTGTGCAGAGTGCCCAGCGGGCCAAGGCCTCACCCAATGGGGCTGATATATACTCTGGCTGTTGCACTCTGAAGATCGAATATGCGAAGGTAAGTCTAGGAAGTGACTGCTGCTTGTCAGCTTCCAGGTGAGCTGGGGCCTGGCTGATAGTAAGCTTTTTCTTGTCCCTACAGCCTACACGCTTGAACGTGTTCAAGAATGATCAAGATACTTGGGACTATACAAACCCCAACCTCAGTGGGCAAGGTAATCCTGATGGCCACTTTGTTCTAAACACACCCCCTTGCCTTCATTTGACTAGTGCACTTCATAGACCTGGATTCAGGGTTATGTAATGCCATTGGGCTCCCTGTGAACACGGGAGGGCTTTAGTGGGAGAGGGTGAATGAGGGCTCTCTGAATTCTAGCTGCTACTTGGGGCCCTTTGGAGCTGAGGGTGCAGAATCAGGTAGAGGCTTGGATTGGGTGGGGAACAGGGCCTCACTGGGCATGGCGATGGCTTTAGAAACCAGTAGCAGCTCCCAAGCGGATTCTGCTGCTTCCCTTCTAGAAGCTTACTTAGGGTCACTGACTTGATTCTCACTGGGTCAGGAATGGTCCTTGCTCTCCACTATTGAGAGGGTCTTCTTGGCGTGGAGGGGGAGGGGATGGCAGATTGGGGAGGTGATGAAGGCTCCTGGGCCCTTGCAGCAGAGCCTTTGAGCAAGTTGACCTTGTAGAGGTGAGGCCCTGGATTGAAGCAGAGTGGGCATGCCTTACCTTACTTGTAGAGGGGACTCAACTTCTCTGCAGGGTGCCCAAATGGACATCCCCTTCCTAGAATCTGTCAAGAATGGTTTGCCTTGGATAGGAGGGAGAGATGGAGAATTGCCTTTGAAAAGCAGCAGCACCGCCTCAACAAGACCGTCCATCTCGGTGTCTGTCTTGGTCTGATACATTGGACTAGGCCATGGGCTGAGGGAGGAGGCTGGTTGCTGACATCTCACAGGCCCTGGGAGGCCAGGCGCCCCCATTTCTAGCCAGGCCTGTCTTGCTCATCATTGAAGCTGGGAAGCAGTGGGTGGCGTGGGCTAGACTCTTCCCCAGGACCTTCACAATGGGTGCTGTGGGCCTGGCCGCTCCCTCCAGAGGTCAGAGACAAATTGGTGACCAAGTGAATGTACCAGAGCAGGCAATGGCATTACATGACTGCTAACAGAAACATGGCAACCAACCATTTCTTCTCCAAGGAACATAAGTAGAAGATGTGCAGACCGGCAGGGGCTAGTGGCAGGGGCTGGCTGTGCATTGGTTTTGATGCCTCTCAGTTTTGGCTGTCCCAAGGCTGGGGGTCAAAAACGAGAGCTGATGAGGTAACCTGGAGTGAGGGCGGTGCTTCGCCATCCCCTCGGGAACCATACTTCAGCGGCTCTGCCTCTGCACATTGCTCACCAACACACAGGGTAGAAACCACTAGCTCTTCCTGGAGAAAACAACATGCAGCCTCCACCACGTCCCCAGAAACAGCCGCAGACTTGAGCTCACTACATCAAGAACACCACACCGCGCTCCAAGGAACAACTACAAGCACAGAGGCAGACAGAGACAGAGAGAAAGAGACGCAACATGGCAGCAGACATTGCTTTTCTATTAAACATTAAAAAAAGGCCAAAATCCAAGCAAACTTGAACCCGAGAATGTACACAGAAGTAGGAAACACAGAGAACAGAGCTCTCAGCCAGCCAACGGCGCTCTTTTCGGAGAACGTTTCACAGACTGAAGTAGATTCCATGGGCCTCCAAGACAATAGGATCCTCTCTCCATTCCTCGCCATATGGGTTTTGTTTTGTTTTTTTAAGTCCTTTGGTTTGGGGAGGGCCTTCTTTTTTTGTTCCGATTTTTTTTTCTGCAGTCAACAGCTGCCAACATAATCTGCACCAACTGGAGATCAGAAACCAAAAAAAAAATTTAACCACAACAACAAAAAAATAAAAAAAAGCAAAACAGACCTAAAAACAGACAGCCAAACAGCTCAGAGGTACACAGTTACCTGCTGGCGGGTAATCGGGCGCGCTCCCAAGGCCAAAAGTTCGGGCATAGTGGGGCCACTGGCACACTTCATAACCAGGAGACACGCACATGGAGCGCTACACAGCCAGAAGCACCGCACTGCAGCACACAATGTGAGGAGGTGACAACACGGAGGGACACTACCCACTTCATACACCTTTATTTTCCACTTTTCTGATATCTTCTGAGGACAGAACATCTGTGAGCCACTTTTGATTTAATCAAAACATTGACTGTTAAAACAATTCTTTAAAAAAGTTGTAGCGGATGTATACTGTAACTTGTATTTATGACTGTAAAACCATGTGATGCAGGGTCGCAGTGTATGTTTGATGGGACGCCATCTTTCAGAACTGTGCTAACTCACTGTTGAAGCGTCCAATGGTAAGAGAAAATACAGATTTGTTTTTTGTGACAAATGGACATTGTACTCTGTACTTCTGCTGTAAGTAGTCCTATTCCATCTTTGTAATGACTGATTGTTGAAAACAAAATGAAGGCCGGGTGGCAGGAAAGGGCAGTGGTCTTGAGCCCTGGGTTTTGGAGTCAGTCAGATCTGGGTTCAAATCCCGGCTCAGCCACTAACTTGCTTTGTGACCTTGGGCCAAAATGTCTTAACTGCTCAGTTCAAAGTTAATCCTTACCTGTAAAATGGGATTAAAATAGAACCTACCTCATAGGGTTGTTGTGAGGAATTTAAGAAGCTGTGATGTCTGTAAAGTGCTTAGCACAGTGTCTGCCACTCAAGCACTAAATTAATGGTAGCAATTAATGAACTACATCTGGAGTCGGGGATGGGTCTGCGCCATTGTCTGGGTCTGAGAATGTTGATGCCTTGTACATGATTGCTCATGAACTGATTCTGACTTGCTTGTCCTTTCCTCCAGTCCCTCCTCTGGTTGTACGCGACTAGGTGGGAGGGTGACAGATTGGCATTGAGAAAGAAGGGGCCTAGAGAGTGGGGTCTAGAGCTCCTAGAATCATGGGGTTTTAGGGTTGGTATCTTCTTTCTGCCCTTCCTGGGTTATTTTCCTGCTCTTAACCTCTCCCTTCATTGGGAGTTATTTTAGAAAGCTTTTCTTGGCCTCATGACCTATTAGCTTCCATAGTAGCTGCAAGTTCCCCAGAGGACCCAAGAACTGATCTTTTTCCCACCAGGACCAGAGCAGATGCCAGAGTGCCCAGAACCTCGCCTCATCCTTCAAAGAGAAAGGAAAGCCTAGTTGGTATGGGCTAAGGAGGCAAAGTGGGTTCCAGCCTTGGGCTTCATGCCCACCCTCAACCAGGCCAAAGGAGGGAGGCTCCAGCAGCCCTTGTGAGATACGGAGGGTTTGCAGCCAGGCTTGTAGGAGCTAAGGGACTTGGAGCTTAGCCTTTAGTCAGAAGGGAAAGAGCCACCCCTCTTATTGAACTAGGCTCTAACTGATTTCTCTGTCCACAGGTGACCCTGGCAGCAACCCTAACAAACGCCAGAGGCAGCCCCCTCTCCTGGGAGATCACCCCGCAGAATATGGTGAGGGCAGGGGGTTCCCCTCCGTGGACTCCCGTGGCTCATGTGCCCCTGCCCGACGCCCGCCACGCAAATTCTCACCCGCCCTCCCTCTCTTTCCTTCCCACCCCCCAGGAGGGCCCCACGGTGGGTACCACAGCCATTACCATGATGAGGGCTATGGTCCCCCCCCACCTCACTACGAAGGGAGAAGGATGGGCCCACCAGTGGGGGGTCACCGCCGGGGCCCAAGTCGCTACGGTCCCCAATATGGGCACCCCCCACCCCCTCCCCCACCAGCCGAGTACGGCCCTCACGCCGAAAGCCCTGTGCTCATGGTCTATGGCTTGGATCAGTCTAAGATGAACTGTGACCGAGTCTTCAATGTCTTCTGCTTGTACGGCAATGTGGAGAAGGTGAGTTTCTGCAAAGTCCACTGCTTTCCCTTGTAGACTTGGCAGGTCCCAGGGAGGCACTGAACCTCATGGTTTGCCCAGTCAGTGAAGAGGGAGAAAGAGCCAGAGCTCGCTTGGGTAAGAGCAAGCTGACTCAGAGAGGGTAACTTGCTTAATTGGGTGACCTGCTACAACAGGGTTTGTTCAGTCCTCACTGTGTATGGGTATTTTGTCTGTTTTTGAAATTTCAGTGTTAATAAGACTGGGACTAACACAAAAGTGCTAATACTTAACATTACTTGAATATTATGATATGTGAAATTTATCCATTGTGGCTATTTTTTTAAACTTTTTAAAATTTACTGGTTTTGGGGGGGTGGGGGAGAGAGACATCGATTTGTTGTTCCACTTACTTATGCATTCATTGGTTGATTCTTATATGTGCCCTGCCTGGAGATCAAACCTGCAATCTGAGTGTATCAGGATGATGCTCTAACCAGCTGAGCTGCCTGGCCAGGGCTACCCATTGTATGAGGGTTTTCTCCAGATAATCTGCCAACACTGGGTCTTCTGCCTGTGGGATAGTTAACTGAGACTGATAGGTGACTGTCCCAGATCAGATGGTTTATTGCTTCTGTCGAACCCATCTGAAGCTTTTTGAGTTTATAGCCTCTCTTGGCCCATTAAAAACAGTAGCAGCTCATACGTGTTAAATTTTTCCTATACTAGGCACTTTTAAAAGTGCTTTACATGTTGTAACTTGTTTAACTTCACAAGCATCTTTAACGAGGTAAGTGGGGGAAATGAAGACAAGGAACTTGAATAACGTGCCTAGGTTAAGAGACCTTTTTGTGGAAGCAGGACTCGAGCTAGAGAGCCTGGCTTCAGAGCTGACACTACTGTTTTTCAAGTGTTTTTTTTTTTTTTACTGTAACACACATAAATATTTTACATCAGGACCCAATATCTAGATAAATGTGTCTATTTAACAGACAAACATTTATGAGAATAGCTGCTTTGGTTTTTTACTATGCCTCCTGTTTTCTGTTGTTTCATTAAGTGATCCACTTATGGGTCATGTCCTACCCTGTCTAGGCTCTGCTGCCTGCCTTGGGCTGAGCACTTGTCGTGGGCCACGCATGCTTTTTGGTTTCTCTTGATTCCCATTTGTAAGTCAGGATGTGGAAGCAAGAGTTACTTCTAACTAACTTGGAAGGGGCAGGAGAGAGGTCCCGGACTGCTGGGCAGTGGTGATGACCATGGCTGCTCTCCCCAAGGTGAAATTCATGAAAAGTAAGCCGGGGGCTGCCATGGTGGAAATGGCTGATGGCTATGCTGTGGACCGAGCCATTACTCACCTCAACAACAACTTCATGTTTGGACAGAAGCTGAAAGTCTGGTAGGTGCCCAAATTCCTTGGGATAGGATGCTTTGGCAAGGGCCTGGGGAGAAAAGGGAAGGAAAATGGGGCACCCACTGCACAGGGCCCAGCAGTGGAGCACAGTGAGACAAAGGTGCTTATTCAGGCAGGAGTGAGGTGTGTTTCCAGATGCTTCTCTGAAGCAGTGGGAAAAAGTGCGCTTCGCCTCAGCTGCGGCACAGTGCCCCCTGAGGCACACAGCACTTGCTCAGACAGGAACAAGGCCACAGTGGAGGGCTTGGGGGACATTAGGTTTGACAAAGAGCTCCCTTTTCCCCCTAGTGTCTCTAAGCAACCTGCCATCATGCCTGGTCAGTCGTATGGGCTGGAAGACGGGTCCTCCAGTTACAAAGACTTCAGTGAATCAAGGAACAATCGGTTCTCCACTCCGGAGCAGGCAGCCAAGAACCGCATCCAGCACCCTAGCAATGTGCTGCACTTCTTCAATGCCCCTCTGGAGGTGACAGAGGAGAACTTCTTTGAGGTGGGTGCCATGGAGTTGGTCCCTCACTACAGCCATCTGACTGGGCCATTCATTTTAGTCTTTCAACAAATACCTATTGTTTTCCTACTCTGCCAGGATGAGGGTTGGGTGCTGGGGAAAAGCACCAAACATCTAGCAACAGAGAAGTTTGCCAGGCTCTTAACATTTTTGGCAAGCTAGGATAGCTATACCTTTGCTGGGAAAGTGTCTGTGTGTGTTGGAGTTGTGGTCAGAGTCCAATCTCAAAACATCCCCTTTGTCAGGCAGGCCCTCAGGTGCCTAGATAACATCTGAAGGGAAGGGCCTGTTAAGGGCGAGGTCAGAGGGAACTAGGGCAGGAAGGCTGATGGGCAGAATTGGACTTTGGTCCTTGTATTCAGTTCATCAAATATTTACTTAGTGCCAACTCCCTCAAATAGCAGCTGAAGATGAGAATTTGGGGGCGGGGGGAATCACGGGACACCATAGAGTGTGTGATGAAAGCTTAGAAACTTGTCTCCAGAAAAATCTCAAGCACTGGGTCATGCAGGGCAGGGTCTGCTTAATTCTGCCATGTGGCGGCATTCCTTGTGTTTCTGCATCTATTTTCTATTTTTTTTTCCTATATATATTTTTATTGATTACAGAGAGGAAGGGAGGGGAGAGAGAGAGAGAGATCAATGATGAGAGAGAATCACTGGTTGGCTGCTCCTGCATGGTCCCTACTGGGGATCGAGCCCACAACCTGGGCATGTGCCCTTGACTGGAATTGAACCTGAGACCCTTCATTCCTCACCAGTGCTCTACCACTGAGCCAAACCAGCTAGGGCATCTGCTTCTATTCTTTGTCTTGCAGATTTGTGATGAGCTGGGAGTGAAGCGGCCATCTTCTGTGAAAGTATTCTCAGGCAAAAGTGAGTAAACTGCCTTGTCTTCTCCCTCATTCCTTGGTTGTAGATGAGAAGCTCCCTAGTTTGTGCTTGGATTAGCCTAAAACCTTTGCTTTCTGATCAGGTGAACGCAGCTCCTCTGGGCTGCTGGAATGGGAATCCAAGAGTGATGCCCTGGAGACTTTGGGCTTCCTGAACCATTACCAGATGAAAAACCCAAGTGAGTATCTGTATCCTGCAGTCATCCCATCCCCCTTATGGCCTAATGGGTTGGCTGGCTTCAGGTCAGCGCTGTCCTTCCTGCTGTCACGATAGAGCCCCAGAAATTTCCACATTGTCACTGACACAGATGAGCGGGACCTGATCTCCAAGAGAGCAGCCTGGTGTTCCCTATAGGAGAGCCAGCCTGACTGCTTGTTGTTCACCCACTCTGCCAGCTGAGAGTTGCTCAGGCTTGTTCTTTAAGTAGCTGGCATTCTCTGCGTCAGAAGCCATCAGTAATGCCCAGCCATGTCAGTCACAGAGGCTGGCTAAGCTAGTATCCAGGAAAGGGGCTATATTAGCCAGCAGGTAAAATTTGCCCACCCAGTTCCTGGGGGCAGGCCTATTGCTCTGAGCAGCAACAGAGCTAGGAATGGGATTGGGATTCTCCATGGTAGTGAAGGAAGGGAAGGAGAAATGCCTTGTGTTTGGGGCTTGTTTTTAAGCCTCACATTGGTCAATGACCATTAGGCCCCACAATTGAACTGCAGAAAAAGATGTGTTTAAATGAGGAGAATTGTGGGGTGGGGGGAGGCTTGAAGGGGGGGCGGGTGGCGCCTCCAGAGATGGACTCAGCCAGACCCTCTTTTCTTCTTTGCAGATGGTCCATACCCTTATACCCTGAAATTGTGTTTCTCCACTGCTCAGCACGCCTCGTAATTAGGTGCCGAGGAAGAGTCCTATCTGAGCAGGAAATAATTTCTTTCCTTTGTTTTTTTGTTTTTGTTTTTGTTTTCCGCAAAAGTTCCTATATTCCTTTTATCTCTTTTTTTTTAAATGCTAGGTTAGAGGCTTAACCATAATGGAAACGATGGAAGGGGAGGGGAAGGGAATTGATATTTCCCAAGATTAACCTTCACTTTTAAGAAATTATTGTACATGTGATTTTTTTCCCCCGTTCATACATTCGTGCTGCCTATGTACTCTTGGCACATTTCAATAAAATTGTTTGGAAAATTAACAGTGCTTTCTGGGACTCAGGTTTTTGTCTGCTTCCCTCCCACTTGGTCTTCTGAAGAGGGGCAGGCAGGCCAGGACACAGCTGCAAGCTGTGGGGAGCTGCAGGCCCAGCCCTGGGAGGAGCAGGGTGAGCCAGGGCTGTAGACCAGTAAAAATACTAGCAATTAGGGAGTCTTGAGAAAAGGCTGGAAGACCTGGTGGCACACAATTCCTGTGTCCTGCCTAAGCAAGCTCATTCTAGTTAGGAGAATCATTTAAAAAGTACAGTATTTTTCCGTGTATAAGACATTTTTTTCCCCCTAAAATCATTAGACTGAAAATTGAGGGGTGTCTTATACACAGAAGTCAAGGAGGGCAGGAGGGAGCGGTGTGGGTGCGTAACTGCCCATACCTTGTCAGACAGGCTTCCTCCAATCACAGCCTTATTGTTACTGGTCAGCTGGTGCCATAATTGGAGGTGGAGTGCGTAGATGCAACAGGGACCAGAGCATTCTGAGCCCATAAAGATGTTAAAAAATAGGTAAATACCAGTAAGCGATTGTCTTACTCTGCAAAATTCAAACGGAATGTAATCAGTTATGCAAAAGAGCATGGAAATAGCTGCAGAAAGAATTTGGGCCTCCCACTGCGTGTGTGATCAGCCAGTGGAGAAAACAGGAATTACAGCTCCTTCAGATGCCAAAAAAGAAGGCCTTAAGAGCAAAACCAGCAAAATGTTTAAAATACTGATTTTTTAAATTTCGGGTTGGAAAAGTGGGGGGTGTCGTACATGGGGGTGTCTTATACATGAAAAAATCCGGGATATGGTGGTGCTGGGGGAGAGGGGAGGACTTAAAGGGAAATTGAATAAACACCTGCCTTTTTTTGTTAATCCTCAGCTGAGGATATTTTTTTCATTGGTGTTTTTTAGAGAGAGAGGAAGGGGGGGGGGAGGAGGGTAAGGGAAGAGAGAAACATTGATGTGAGGTGAGAGACATTGATTGGTTGCCTCCTACATGCCCCCAACCAGAGCCTGGGATCAAACCTGCAACCCTTCTGTGCGTGGCTGACACACCAGCCAGGGTAACACGTGCCTTTTTATAAGGTTGGAAAATAAACCTCTGGAAGATAAAAGTGGAAGTCTTCTCCCTAGTCCCTTTATCATTTTTGGTGATATTTTTTCTCTTTGTCACATTGGGCAATAACCCTTGCAGTTGAACTGCAGAATAAGGTATGCAAAACAAGGAACTGGGTGGGAGGAGCATGTTCTGGAGTTCCATCTGGACATTTGTGTGTGTGTGTGTGTGTTTTAATGTTTTTATTGATTTTGAGAGGGAACACTCAACCACTAAGCCACACCGGCTGGGCAACATTTGTTTTTTTTTGTTTTTGTTTTTTTTTTTATAAATCTTTATTGTTGAAAGTATTACATATGTCCCCCTTTTTCCCTCATTGAGGATATTTTTTTCCATTGGTTTTTAGAGTTGAAGGGAGGGTAGGGAGGGGTATATATAGAGAGAAACATAAATGTGAAAAAGACATTGATTGCCTCCACCACCTGCCCCAACCTGAGCAACTCTAATGGATGGAACCTGCAACTCATGTGTGCTCTTGACCAGGAATTAAGCCCATGACCCTTCCATGTGTGGGCCAACACTAACCACTGACCTACACTGGCCAGGTCCATTGGGGTTTTTTTACTCCTAGTAAGGAACTTAGACTTTTATTGATATTATCACAGATGTCCCCATTCCTCCTCTACCCCCATTTTGACCACCTCCACCAGTCCCTGCCCTCCCTTTCCTCTGGCAATCACTACTTGTTTTTAATAAAATTATTTGTGCTGTACAGTGTTGTGTCTCATAATCACATACAAAGCAACTTATTTTTACCCCTGCATGGTATCTTGTGTTGCATTAGAATTTACCTGGTCCCAAAGATAATTTCCAACTTTTTGTTACTGCAAACTGGATATGCTGGATATCTTGATATAAATATCTTAGCCAACTTCCTTGGTATTGTAGAAGTACATTGCTAGCAGTGGAATTGCTAGATTAAAGGATCTATAGATACAATTGCAATGTGATAGATACTCCCCAGTTGTAAATGGGGACTTGTATATGGGGGGTAAGGCGTGGCAACCTGGAAGGAGCCTGTTTTAAGGCTCATGATGTAAGAGGCAACCTGTAGAGGAGCAAGTAAAAGATACAGCACTTCGTTCATGCATGTGCTCTTGAAAAAGACCCACTTTCAAATTTTACTGTGAAGTTTTGAAACTCAGATTTACATTTCTGAAGACATGGCATTTGTCAGATGAAACTGCTTCATATGGGACAGTTTCAAAATAGAACAAGGAGAAACTAGTCCACCTTGCAACCACAAACAAATCTGCTATGATATATTTTTTGTTTGTTTGAAAGTATACTTTTACTGATTTTAGAGAGAGGAAGGGAGAGGATATATAGAAACATTGATGGACTTAGCCATTTTGGCTCAGTGGATAGTGTTGGTCCGAGGTCAAGGGCACATACCTTGGTGTAGGCTCAATCCCAGCCTTGGTCCAGGTGAGTGCGTGAGGGAACCAATCAATGTGTCTCACATTGATGTTTCTGTCTCTCCTCCCTTCCACTCTCTAAAATCAGACCTGCTGCTTCCTGCACACCCCGCCCTGGGGATTGAGCTTCCAACCCCAGGCATGTACACATAACCTGATGGAGAATCAGACTGACTTGGTTCACGGGCTGATGCTCAACCACTGAGTCACACTGACCACGCTGTTAAGATTTAAGTCAAAAAGTAAATTAGCAGCCAGTTATTCCTTGTTAGCAGTTTTTAGTCTCCTACAGATACTTTACATCATATATATTGTGTGCACCTACAGCGTGCTATAAGTTTTTTGCTGATAATACTAAATGTTCAACATTCTTTTTATTGATTTCAGAGAGGGAGAAAGAGAATCATCAATGAAGAGAGAATAATTGATTGGCTGCCTCCCTTATACCCCCAACTGGAGATCAAGCCCTCAACCCAAGCATGTGCCCTTGACCGGAATTGAACCTGGGACCCTTCAGTCCCCAGGCCGGTGCTCTATCCACTGAGCCAAACTGACTAGGGCTATGTTCAACATCTTTACATTTTTCTCTCTCATATCTTGGTATTTGCATGCGGTTTCAGAGTTTGCTTTGCATAGATAACAGTTCTCTGTTGATGGACAGTCACTGGTTCTGTTTCCCAATAGAGCCTGCCTATGACATTTTATTAAGAAGGCGAGGTATTCCCTACAATTCCATTTGCTCAGAGACATCCATTTACTTCCTGGTGAACATCTCCTTAACAAGCATTTTTACAGCACTTGTGCTCTTGGGTTACGTGGATTTTCCATAGAGGTTTATTTTATTTTGAGGAAATTATTTTAAGAACATAGACCAGCCCTGACTGGTTTGGCTCAGTGGATAGAGTGTCAGCCTGCCGACTGAAGGGTCCCAGGTTCAATTCCAGTCAAGGGAATGTACCTTGGTTGCAGGCACATCCCCAGTACAGGGTGTGCAGGAGGCAGCTGATTGATGTTTCTCTCATCGATGTTTCTAACTCTATCCCTCTCCCTTCCTCTCTGTAAAAAAAATCAGTAAAATACATTAAAAAAAAAAAAAAAGAACATAGACCAGGTCCACATAAACCCCCTCTTCAGCACTACTGAAGCCTAGAGACCATGAAATAATGACTGCCCCAGCCCCAGGTTCCTGTGTACAAAGGAAAATAGGACCTGGATGTGGTGTGGGAGTTTAAAAAATATATAGTCAGTTCTAACTGGTTTGGCTCAGTGGATAGAGCGTCGGTCTGCGGACTGAAGGGTCTCAGGTTCGATTCTGGTCAAGGGCATGTGCCTTGGTTGCGGGCACATCCCGAGTAGGGGGTGTGCAGGAGGCAGCTGATCCATGTTTCTCTCTCATCAATGTTTCTAACTCTCTATCCCTCTCCCTTCCTCTGTAAAAAATCAATAAAATATATAT